CACTAAGCATCGACACTACAGAGCCCTATTGTCACGGTGAGGGGACGCAGCCGCCTCGCGAAGAAAACCGGTGACAACCGCTTTCAAACTAGTTCAAAAAGTAGTAAATAATTGTCAAGCCATGATAGAATGAGCTCTAAGTCTTTCGTTCATTGAAAAGGAAGGTGGAATTACATAATGTTACAAGCAAAAAACAATCTAGAATAGATTCTTTCTTCCTGTATATCGATATTTATTTTGCAACTAATAAATATTGCTTACGAAAGCCTTGATATACCGAATATTACTTGATTTTAGGCTAGACTTCGTTACAAAGAGAGTGTTCGTTTTACCGAATTTCTCGTTATAACGAATCATATATGACTCCCCCGTGCCTTCGGTATAACGGAGTTCGACTGTAATTAAGAACTGCACAATTTCACCGTCCAAACGCTAATTCATGACAACTGGTAAAGGTTTAATACAAATACAGTAAACAATATACAATTTAAATAATTTTGATAGATCTATCCTCAGTATTCGTTATCAAATAAAGCAAGCTCAGCAAATACGAGCAAAGGAGTTATTGAATTATATATATGGTAACATTTTCTGGCCCCAAACCCATTCTTTTTAAGAATTATATGTACATGACACACTTATGAGATCGATATGCTTCATGCTGGGACTGAGCAAACAGTGACGCAAATCGTGGGAACAGGACGTTCTCATCATAATATTACGTCATTAACAAATCACAATTACATATGAAGTCTTATTCATATATAATGTACTATAAATAACGCTTCCTCTTCGCTTTTCCACTATCACATCTTCCTATATTTAATAAAATGACACAAGATTCGAAAGACTCGGGTTCCCTCTCATCGGCAGCGAACGCTGCTGCCTCTCAGATTCGTCATCCCGATCCCAATGCAAATAAAACCGAAAAGACTGCTGCGCCTCTTGCTACTTTGAGTTCGGAAGCCGATCCTTACCCCCATATATTCATGTCAGCTGCGAGTAAGTATAATATGACGACGAGATAATTTTAGGCGAAGAATTCTTATTGATCGTTTACGCGGTTTATTACGATTTATTCTTAGCTGGATTTGGGAGCGGATATGCATATTATTCCTTGAAACAACCAAGACTAGCAGCAATTTCAGCGGCGGTTGCTGCCGCCTATGCGTATGGCGCGTAAGTATACTCTTACATTTTGTGTATCACTAATTTGATCACTGTTCTGACTTTGTTCCAGTTATCTTATTGATAACCGCCAATATAAACGCGGATATACCGTATCATCCAGTAAGTCATTCTGAGACTGAAAACGTTTGAGTTTATTCACGATTTTACTTTCACCGCTTATGTCGTGGTTCATATCTTCGCAGTCGCTTCGCTCGGTCTCCTCGCCGCCTGCGGTCCGACAGCCTACGTAGTTAAAGATCCGTTTAATGTCTCCTTTGCCAGTCTTGGCGCAATTTCGACGGCGGCAAATACACTTAAGGCATATCAGCAGTGGACTGGACGTCCGCGCGAGTTACATAGAGCTTATTAATAGATTAAATGGGCAATATGTTTTTTGATAATGAACGATATGGGATTCGCAAAGAGCAAATTATGTCAATTAGTTAAATAGCCTTGTTAGTGTGTCGGATAACGGATTAATTAAATCTACACAAGTTGACATGCTCTTCGGTGGCAATCGCATTAACAACATCTAGCAAGAATTCACTCGTTGTATGCATGTGGGCCAAGAACGTATTATATCTATTATCTATGCCAGCTACAAAATATTCGAAGTATAGATTCATTCCTTTCGTCAATGCCTTTTGCAGTTTGGATTGTCTGCCATGCGGAAGTTTGAAATAAGTATTTGATAAATCTTTATATTATCATTAGTCGTATCTGATCAACAATGCAAGCATGCCAAACAAAAACACGTATAGTGTAGTTTGATAGAGAATAGGAGCTCTTGAACCATCAACATACAGCGACTTGACACTTTAGATTGACACAGGTTTGATAATTTAAATCTGAAATGTTCATCATAACCTAACAATGAACAAAGCTGTACATAACCACGTTAGGTATATGCATGCCTTAGCATACAACTAAACTTCTGGATCTCTCTCTTCATACTCTTTCATTGTCCCATATTTCTTTTTCTTAAATCAACTTATTATCCAGGGCCAACCTGTCGTAGGCAAAAGAATGTAATTAATAAATGTGCAATCATGCAGAGCAAAAGCATGAACGGCACTAAAATAATATTATACGGTGTTCAGATACCCATTCCCGGTATAAGGAAGAATGGTCCGGACTTTTGTCGCACTAGTCAACGCTGTATGTCAATTTAACTCACCTTCGGAATGTCGTAGTGCTCAGTCATCTCTTCTAATTTCCGATTCAATTCCTACAGAATGTGTTATAATCGACAGTTTGATTACAGCGCGAAGCTTGCAAAACTCGTCTTACAAAGAGAAAACAAGGCATACCGCAACTCTCTCCCGATGTGACTTCTGGGCAGCCTTCTGTACCTTCTCTTCGAGCTTGTAACGAGGACACATATATATTCGTGTGTGTAAATGTCAGTCATTATTTTAATTCGCACAAAAAACTATCATGTTCCCTTGATCTTCCGTATTCTCATATACTTTTTCTATCCCCGTACTTCAACACCAAATCTTCTTTTAATATCATACCCGTTGACGCTGTATCTCCTCGAACTTTCTCTCAGCTTCAGTTTTGGTAACAACTCTAATCGGAGTTGGAGGTTTCTCAGAAGAAAGCAGTTCCTTTGCTATGGATTCTGCTTTTTCCTTGTCTTTTTTCGATTTTTTCTTTTTCCTGGTTTTAAGACATGTCAGTATACCAATGGCGGCAAAGTCATACTTGATATCCATGGATTTCACTGACTTACTTTTTTATTCTGTTAGATCCTCCCTTTAACTGTAGGACGCCTCCTGGTAAATTATCGTATTCAGACATCTTGAATGTTATCCTGTGGGAACGGCAGTGTGTGATATAATTCCACCGTTTCTGTATGACCGTCGATCCAAATCATGTGCACCAATGCAACGCGTAAACACACATTTCGAATAAATTCGAAAACCAATATTGTTTAAGTTAGGAACAAAATACAACAAAAAAGATTCAAGAGACATATGATGTCTCAATTGAAACGTTGCAACGATGGGCTGCTTCTGGGAAGGTTACTATTGTTAAAACGCCTGGAGGAAAATGACTCTACTAGTACACAGAGCGACGCAAAAAGCCAAAGTTGGCTATGCCAGAGTTAGGTCGGAACATCGACGAAGTGACTTTAAACGACAGATCGCAGACATTATCCAGAACATGAAATTATCAGTGACATGGGTTCGGGACTCAAATGGAAGCGCAGAGGCGCTGCTTCTCTTCTGGAATGAGTATACACTAATGGATCGAAGAAGTAAAGTGGTGGTTACCCGAAAGGACCGTTTATGTCGCTTTGGATCTGAACTCGTGGAATGGATTCTTGAAGAAGCCGGACACGGAGAACTTGCGAAGACTTACTTGCAATTGTCAGAATGTTTGTGGCGCGACATAATGGATTACGTTACAAATCGTAGAAAAGTTGCCACCCAAAGAAATGAGAAATTTTCTAGCAGGTAAAGTACAATGCATTCTCCTTTTACTACTCAGGGGGAGCGAACGAAACTCAGGCAATAGATAGGGACAACACGATGGACGTACAATCAATGTGATCAAAAAAGAAGGTATTAATAGAAGAAAAATTGAGGGCACGGTGTCTCAATGCTGTAAACTTCAATAATGAAGCTATGAATGACTTGCTCGAAAAATTTTTTTTCCAAAATTATAAAAATTTCAGTATGAAGTTTTGTTCTAAAAAGGATTCTCAACAGCAAATTGCAATACTTTTCAAACACTAGGGCAAGTCTCGTAATGTATATGCATTTTTTCATAAAAATCAAGTCAGCAGAGTCTTTCCAAGTCAACTTGAATATGCATACGATAGTCATCTTGTTATGAATTACCTTGATAAATTTTATCTTTGTATACCTGAATTACTTTTGTTTTAATTATTATATGGGGCATGCTGCAACAAACCAGACAAAGTGAACATTCTATTATTATTATGTGACATAAATGAGAGGCTGATTATGATGCGGGTTGTAAAACTGACCAGTGTGACTGATGACGTTTGAAAACTAATTCATAACTTATAGACTTGTTAATTTTAATGCTCTTTATCATACCAGAAGGTGAGGAATATAAACCATAACAGGATTACCTCTTATAAAAAATATTAATATGAAACTAATTTACATTAAGTCCACTATGGAACCCAAGAATGACAGCACTATTCGAAGCATTCTAAAAAAAGAACAAGGAGAAAAAATTGCCCCCTATGTTTTTAAAATCAATAATACCCAAACTCTCCAGGCATATCTAGATCAAGAAAAAATTACTTATGAAATTTATCAAGAAGAACGAAAAATCATAACTACTAAACGAGCATTAGCACCAACACTAACACATAATGAACCAAAAAAGAAACGTAAACTTGAAGACAGGTAAGGGAAAGCAGCTTAACGTTCCTTATAGTTTTTGACTTGTTGATAAAGAACCGTTTGAGTGCATTCGTTGAGCGTTGATCATATTTCGCGACTTTGACACAATTGCAATCAAAAGTCAAACATATAAAAATAATTCAATTTTTCGTAAGTATAAATTTTATTATTTCGATTATTGAATGCGCGCTCTTGAAAAATAAATAATAATAAATGCACCAGAGTGATTGCATGGGAGGAAAATACTCGGACCCAAAGCCACTTGTGAGTATAACCTATTCTTTGGTCACTCTGGTGCAAATTTAAATTTCATTATCTTTTTTATTATTGCTACTATTAATAACATTATCACTATCTTTATTTTCATCGTCTTCATCTGAGTGGTTTACGTTTTCCTCGATCCAACGTTGGATTGCTTCGATCGTCTTTTTCCGCGGACTTGTTCTTCGAAGATAAAAATTTCGTATTGTAGAAGCCGCAACAGCTTTTCCTTCAAGTAGTTTATAAATTTCCAATAACACTTTGTTAAAGGAAAAGTTTAGATCCAATTTAATTCTTTTGCCGTATAATCGTTTTAGATCGTTCCACAACTTTTCAATGTCTGGCAAGTAAATTTTGTTCGCCCACTGACAGTTTTGTAATGGATTGTAACTTCATCGTTTGAATTAGAGCTCTCGTATTATTAGGCCGACCATTACGAAGTATGTCATTTAACCACAGGCCGAGAGCGAAGCCAATAAATATTCCAAAAAAGAATTCGCTTATAAATATAAACATTCGTCGCAAAGAGTTTATTGATGGATTGTTAGATCTGGTTTTTTATCGTTTTAAACGATATTTGTATTTGTTGAGTTGTGATTGCTTTTCTGAAATAAGCGACTAGTGCTTGCTTCTATGATAAATCTACAAAATGCGCGTTGCTGCGCATCAATTATCATTGGTCAACGGACAATCGCAGAGATTTACGTAATACTTACGCCATTGATTAAGCCACAGCATCTTCTCTTTCTATTTTCACTTCCCGCTATATGAAATCACCCTCTCTATTTGCACGCCCGTGATTTTCATGTGATCTGTACAACAAATTATAATTTACATTACGCGATATATCTAAAGTAAAGATTATACAAAGAGTGTAATACTTACAAATTGCGTTCTCTTATTGTTACACCTTTGTTCTATTTGAAAGAAATTGTAACACAGTCTTTACCATTCTTTCGTTTGATATCAACAGGTAAATAAAGAATTAATGATAGATAAAGAATTTTGTAATCGTTTGTGAAAGAAATAAATACATTCTAACATCTTTGTTAGATTTATTGACTTGTATAAAAAATCATCAGATGTTCAAATTGATGAAATTGATGACAGTATAAGTACTGAACCGGCAATAGTCAATGCCAATGATGTTATAAAGAGTTTAGAATTAGTTCGTTTTTCAACAGCAAGAAGATTCTAAGGAGTTACTTAAACATGTTAATGCTCTTGATTCATACATTAGTTTAAACAACCATAGACAATTTTTTTAGTCAACAATAGAAACGGGTATTTAATTTTGCCTTTCATTATTATCATTATTATCATAAATAAATGAAACGTATGTCACGTAAACCAATAAAATGCTGACCCACTATATTAATATATGCACACCCTCCATATATGCAAACTCAGCTCATTCCCAAGGGGCATGCATATATGGAGGGTAGACTGTATGTTATTTGTCACTAATTTGCGCATAAAGGCATAGATTAGTTATGATAACTTGAGTGGTATAATTGGAGTCTATACAGACTCCAATTATACCACTTATTTCGGACTATAACTATCCCAATAGACGACGGTGTCGTATTTCTGTCGTCATGACACAGACGATGGTGTCGCATTTCTGTCGTCACGAACATTTTTGACGACGGTGTCAGATTTTTGTCGTCATGACACATATGGTATATTGTATATCAGTTTGACGACAGTAGCTGGTTTTAATCGTCAGGTTACATATAATATAAAGTATATCGGGTTATTTATAGTCCATGACGTTCCCCTTGTGGACTATAACCATCCCAATTATTGACGCGGAGTTTGCGTTTGCTTTGTCACTCGAGAACGATGTTGGATTCTGTCGTCACGGTGTCAAACACAGATGACGATGTCAAGATTTGATCATCACAACACATGATGACAGTGTCAAGAATTTGTCGTCACGACACATACCAACCTGA